TTTCCCGTTTCTAGGGGTTGCAGAAATGAACGTTGTCTGCTTCCGCCTCTTCACTTTGATCGCTCATGTTGACGATCGGTGTTTGTATCCGAAAGATGAAATTCTGCTTTCATAAATTCCATTTGACGAGTACAAAGACTATCATGAAGAGGATCAGTTCTTAAAAAGATTTTGCAATATCGCTGTTCATTTGACATCAAAGAGACAGAGTCATCATATCTGACCGGAAAAAGGATAGTTTGATATAGGCAGTAAGGACACTCGAAAGACTTCAAACTTTACTTTAAATCTTTTTATCGAAAATGTGATCTCCAGAGGATGGATTTTTAGAAAAGAACTGCACCTCGAGTGGATGACTGAACTCTGTACTCTGGAAAGGTAATAGCCCAGCTTAAATTTGAACAGTCCTCGCAACATTGTACACTTAATGCGAGCGTTTACGATGGGTTTGCGGCTAAACGGATCAGTTTACTGAAACGATTAACAACACGATCCGATATCACTTGGAAATTGATAATACCGCAGCTCTGATGTGCACACCACAGCGCCTGTACGTTTAAGGATCGGTTGTTGGAATCTCCGCTGAAGAATTTGCAGAGCGAGCTCGAAGCCTCTAAAGCGCAGGATATCCGACCAGGAGTCGCTTCAGTGGCGTAGCCAGGTTTCCCAGATCTTAGGCATGAAATCATTTGGGAACGTATATCTTTGTTGAAATAAATTTCAATTTAATACGCAAACAGTTGAATCTATGAAAGAAAAAATATGGTTACGATATCCTTGCCTATTTTTAACACGGAGCATCTACGTGGCTAGTTCGGTTACTTCTTTTTCGACATCGACAGGATTCGAATGGAGTCGTGTTTGTTAACGAACGCCCGGCGAACAATGAGCTGATTTTGTAGGCGGTCATTGTGAGTATAATTTTCGCTAAAATACACTTCATTGTTTCGAGGATCGTTGAAATGTCGACGCCGACGCGAACGGAAACGCGGCGCGGGTTTCTGCGGCAATTGATTTCGTTATTGACATGTCAGTTCTCACCGACGGTGCGACTGTTTGTTTGTTGCGTTAACAATATTTATCCGATTGAACGTTGCGACAAACACCGCGAAGGGAAGAGTGCGCTCCAAAATCAAATTGTTCGATGCAAAGAACGCGAATTTAGCGGTCAGCTCTTAGTCTGGAAAATATTATATTTGGAAACTTTTTTTTTTTTTTGGGCGACACGATCGAATTTAAATTCGTAGAGTTATTAGCATTATCGTCGTTGCGTGCGTTCGGCCTGAAATTGATTGGCCATGGTGGCAAATGGAATTGACACGCGTGGGTTAATATAATGCAAACGAAGGCAATGCATTTACTTATCGACTATCCGCGTATCGTATGAAAAGCTTCCTCGTAACGCTCGACACTATTGCGTTCCTTTCCAAGTCGATGTCTCACGATAAGACTTTATTAACAACGATGGACGGACCTGGGGCGCTAGTAAACTACGGGACACGTAGATCCTTCCTCTTGTTTCGACCATTTGCAACATTTATCGTAGATCAATTCACTACGGCGAACGTCATTCCCCGAGGTGTAAAGGAGAGTCAACCCGGGAGATTGGAAATAAATAGCCTTTAAAGGCGGCTATACTGTGCCGTGTAGTATCAGCAGCGTCAATACTTAAATCTCGAGTAGGAGGAGCTTTTCAAAGTCGATTCCTCGGGCGGTGGAAACATTTCTCGGAAATTTAGATTTATACTTTATCGCGTGTCAGGAGAATGCGTTTTACGTTGACGGTTTATATGTTTTCAATTTAGTTTGTTTAACTCGCGAGAGACAGAGAGTTGTATTTTCTTTGACTATTCGATTACTGGGACAGTTTTCCTATAAGGCGTTAAATTACAGTGAACACAGTGAACTCGCGCACGCGAGTATGCAAAACGAGAACGAACGCAAAGGTATCGACACGCTACGCGTGCCGTGACGTCGATTAGGCGTGTTATGAAGTAGAAAGAATTCGGTGGAAAGCATAAGAGAAACGGGGATCGTTCTGATGAAAGACAAAATAAGCAAGAAAACGCGGACGTACCCGCGAGAAGCAGTAAAGAGCTGTCAGCGTCAGGATTCGAGTAGGAAATACCCCCGGCATTGAACGCGAATGACAAATTCGTCAATACCGTTCTTGCATCGACAATCGCGTCCTCAAAATTCTTTATTTTTAAGTATTCCGCTTTTCAATCGGAGTGAGATGCTCTTGAAAGCCTGTCACCAAGGTGGATCTTGAAATTTAAGCGAAATCGTCGTCGTCAATCGCGTCGCAGCCACGACAATTCTGGTTGTAAACCAAGTATATTTATTCGACATTTCCGTCTCGAGGTGTGAGTGTTATTCGGAGGTCTAAGGCCAAGGTCAAGCCAAGAGTGTCGCGTTAGTATAAAAGTTCAAAATTATTATGAACGTAATTTTCGACTGATGGTCAAAAATAGGAGAAAAATCGAAACCACCGTGCCACCATTTACGCGTAGACCCAGAGTGACGCGGAAGTACCATGTTCGCAATTTGTAAAAAGTGCCAACGTACCGCTTAACGGATACACATGAATGGTTCGTGCGTAGATTTTGCTGTTTTTTATATGTTCGGTATGTTCGACCGTGCGAGTTAAAATTGGCACGATATTAAAGGCCCTTTAACGGCAAAAGAGTGCCAGAGATGGCAGAGATGGCAGTAAAATAACCGGCGCGTAAAAATACGTTCATATTTAACGGAACGGGAGGGCGTGAAACATTTATACTATTTGTTCACCTCACAAAAATCCACTTACTTTTGCGCGCATTTATCATACAAAGCTATTTCGAAAATGACCTGGTTTACGTCGATTTCAACGCGATCGAATCGAGGTTATTTTCGAACGTATCAATTTGCATCAGCCACCGATTGTGGAGGATGGCGCAATGGTGAATTTGAAGCTATAATATTCCCGGGTGAAATAATTCAAAGGTGGGGTAAAATAGTATAAGAGAACTGGTGAAAATAGAAATGTAGATAAATTTATTTTTCAAAGTTAAAAAAAGAGTAACGAGTTGCACGGTACTTCCGTTCACGTGTCGTGAATAACTGTTATGGGATGAAACTTTACGTACACCTTTTCAATCACTTTTATCCGCACACACGGATGCCACGAGAAGAAATATGGAATCGTGTAAGAGCGAGACGGTATGCTTACGTACACGGAGAATGTAGTTTAAGTAGAAAATAGAGAGCGGAAATTCGTTATAATATATTAATTACGAAATGTCACATTTATCAAGAGCATCTGCCAAAGTTGGTACAGATATAGTTACCTTCGAGAGTATGACAAACATTAGGTCGGTCATTTGAATCACCAGTTCTCAAGTCCACCGACTATTTGTGAGGCAAATTAGGGCACAGAGCATACAATAAGATTCCAAGTGATCTTAAGCTTTCAACTGAGTGCTGAAATGGATGGTCCGACATTCTGCTACTGTTATTACAGCCGAAAGCTCGATAAAATATTCACATCTTTAAATATTATTTGTCTGCATTCTTGTTGCCTAATTATAACGTGTCGTAGAGGACATTAAGAAACTTAGTAAACAAAGTCGTATCCATAATTTTATGATACCGAGTGTCACGCGTTTAGCATTACTTTCTTGTAACGAGGTGAAACCCCGCATCACTTGCATTCACGAGTACCACTGTGTCGATAACCCAGCTTATTGATAACATAATCTTTAGCACCACTTCTAAAGTGCAATTACCCTAGAGTTAACCACACGAGCGCAGAAATATAGCAAGCGAACAGCAGCAGACTCATTTGCCTTATCAACTTCAACGATGTAAAACGATGCGAAACTTTTTCTCGTTCTTATAACTGAATTCAAAATCATCGAATTTAAATTGCTCGATGTAAAAGATTAAGGAACAGGTTGGAAAATCCAGGTTAACCGCAGATACTTTTCTCAACGTCGATGCGAGGCAATTTGGCCGCGAAGCTTACCGCGATGGCCAACTTCTTTTGACGTGACAGAGTTTCTTTTCTTGTTCATTTCACTCGTACGACACTTTAAGTGAACTTCGAGTGAAATCGCTACCGAGGCTTCGACGGCTAATGTCTTTGGAACATTGGAGCAGTGAAACTAACCCCGAAGGTTAATATTTGACCACTGTTACGAGAAGTGTCGATTAGTATTAGTAAGTCAACCATGGGGTTCCAACTTCTCTCTTAACTTTAGACATGGATCAGCTCATAAATTCGACAACAGCTAAATTCATTGATTAATCTAGCTCCAATTGATTTTAATTCTGGAAAAACGTTGTTCAGATATTTACTTACTATACGCATCCAGCATACACTACTCGAACACAATGGCAGAGGCATCATAATCCCACTGCAGTATCGAGATCGAGCGTCATAGGAATTGTCCGTAAGAGTGGAGAATTGTAGTGCTATCGATATCGAATTGCGCGTCGCGTACCACCGTAAACGCACGTACAGATAATCCGCGATACAAACAATCGTTTTCCGCGTATTAACCCAGTTTCGGTCAGAGAAGATTCTTTCGTGGCGGAACGGCGTACCGGAAAATCATCGGGTGAAAGAGTGCGAGAGGGAAGGCAGGTTTAGAGAATGGGAGGATACGAGGGACGCGATAATCTAAAAAGCGCGATAAATTGACACATAGGAATAAGCAGGCGCAAGAAGGGGCTTATGATATCGGTCGGGCGCATCGGTGGTGCTCGATAAGGTCGGTTAAAAAAGGGGTGGTTGAGGAGCCACAGGAAACAGAAAAGAGGTAGCACGATCGTGCCGATGGAAAAATGAGCAAAGAAGACGATGCAAACGGGTTGTCGGAAGCGTCAGGTGGGGTTTTGGGGGAATGGGTTAGGGAGAGGGTGAGAGTGTCGCGCGCAATTCGCGAGTGGAGGGGAGTTATATAGAGTGCACGTACGGTGGCGCTAGCGATAGGGGGAGGTGGAACAGTGCGCGGCAAGAGGTAGGGGGGGTCGGAGGTGGTGGTCCGGCGGATACGGACTCCGATAGGGAACATTGGCTTAGTGTGCTTTCGTTCGTCTTCGTGGAAGGTATACCGGTTACTGTCACGTTCTACATCAGTTAAACGCACGTTGCGCTCTTCCGGTACCGTCGAAACCGTTTCCTCGTTTTAGCGTCAAACGTCGCGGTCAGTGGGTTTCTCTTCCGTCGCCAAGGTGTGTTAATGTGGTTGTGATACACGGAAGTTAGTTAGCGGCGAGGAGGGATACCGTGCTACGTGTGTCAAGTGCCACTGGATGATGAATGTGATGATACAGAGCTGGTTCATCTGCTGTCTGTTTCTGCTGGGCTGTGTTCAAGGTTAGCGCTCGTTCATTCTATCAATTAATTCGAACCGCGAGCACGTGCCGCGTCGTACGTGGAAACTTTAATGAGTTGTTATGCGAACTCTCGTCGAGAAATTGCTTGATTAACGCGTCGATTGCCACGCAGCGTTCGCCAAAAGGGCACGCACAGACGCCCCTCGCGCGGGAAATTTGTGTCACTCTATAAACTTGCCGCGAAATGAATTTTTAAACGCGAATTAACCTCTTTGGACCTGAATGATTTTTTTGGAAGTGGGGATAATATTAGTTAAATAATCGTGCTCTAATTATAATTTGTAATATAGACAGTATCGACTTATTTTCAATTCAAATATTGTTTTAACAACTCTTAATTGCAATACTTCGATAATTATCGTAGGAAAAACACTTAACCCTTTGCACTCCAAACCCTCCTTGCATACACTGACTTACCTTCGGTCGAGAAAATGTTCGAATGCAAAGGCTTAAATGAAAATCGAAAATAAATAAACAGAAATAGAAATTAATTAATTCGTAACAAAAATTATATTGAATTTTATGTACATTACAAAATACACCAGGTCCAGAGAGGTTCACCAAATCTTCTGTACCATTGTTTGCTCCAATACCGTACTTTGATACTACTATAGTCTTGCCGCACCCTGTTAAAGCTACTCGACGATACCAATGATAATCGAGTAAAATAAAAGCGGGATGTATTGCTAACGCTTCTGGCGAAATACATGTGACGTGTACATTCTGTACATAGGCGACACGTAGTTAACGCGTCGAGTGTTTGTCGATCTTGAACTTGACCCGTCCATTCGGGAACAGCATCTAGTTTTTTGGCAGCGAGAAGCGCCAAACAGCCACTAGACACATTATTTATATCCCGTGCAATGTCGCGTTCTTATCGTGGCTAAGAGCACAAAGGTCGAGTAGGTTCGCGGCATGAAGCGTTCAACGTTGGCCAGCTTTTTCGGGGTTACTCGAGGCGTTCGATGTCCGGCGAGTGATAGCCTTTTTACTTTTGTTGTTACAGAATACAACAGGGAAGAGAGGGAAGCATTGCTATCGATCAAAGTTCGATCCCTCGGAGTTTTTGCAATTCTCGATCCTTTGTGCCAAGAGTCCAGAAATACAAAAACAGTGGCACAAAATCCTCTGTGTGTGCCTGTGTGTTGGCATTCTTCTTTTGCTTTGTATTTCGGGAGAGTGATCTATCGGAAAATAACGAAATTGTTTATTACAGGTTTACAGCGTATCCGACACTTTTTGTTCGGCGTGACCTGTTGAATACGCTGGAAAACTTAATCGAATGGGTCATCGAGCACTTTTTAGGAAAAGCATTGGAGCCACTTGTCTTTAAACATTTCGCGCTCGATATATCGATCGTCTTGGTAACTTTTAATCGTCTACCGAATTTTATCTCACTCGCGAGATCACTTTCCCCGCAAATCCAACGATATCGACCCTGGAAAAGTTTCGCCATAACCTCGCCAGCCTTTTTAAGAATGCGTGAATATGGCTACGTGCGCTATCTCGTCGAGCCTTTAGCAGTGTGTACGGAAGAGTGCGGAGTCGTTACTTTTTGACGACTGCAAGACGTAGCGTGTTCCGTCGATTCGCACCAATGGAAACGGTCGAGGGGTTTTAGAAAGGTCGCTGGTCGCCCATCCACTCGCTTCCGACCGACTAATACGTTGGAAAGCTCTGGCATTTCGCGATAGCGCGTGCTTATCCTTGGCAAATTTCGTACCGCGAATTCTATTCGGTCATCGTAGCCCCCTCTGATCGGAAGTTACTTTTCGTTCTATTTTTAACGGTTCGATAAATTTGCGTCGACTTATTTTTTCGTCGCTGGGGGCAACGAGACGTTGCTTTCGTTTTGCTTCGGACCACTACTACAACACAGGAAGTTGTAAGCCGCAATTACTTGCTTTCGTAGTTAAATTTCGCATGCTAGCTTTCGAAAATAGTACTTCAGCCACTTTAATGTCTTGACGGTTTTAAAGTTTCTTTATTTTATATATTATGGAACAGAAATGAACGAAATGGAGTTCAGCCATCGTGATCATTCGATCTCGCTTTAATTATGAATCCTTTGGCGAAATGAATGAAGGATCCGTGTAAATACGAATATATTGTAGCCGATGTGGTATGTAAACACGTTAAACAGTGTAAATAATGGTTCGTGTAACGGTGATGTCGCGTTGTACGTTTATTTAACGTTTCGACCAGCGCGTGTGGTCCACTTCAGAAATAACATAAGTGAATTTAGGTGACAAGTTTAGCATGCACGAGGAAATTCGAAATATATAAATAGTTGTACGTTACGCGATAATTTCCTACACAACCATTTCGTTTCTTTGTCTCGTACGCCTCGTTTACCGCGATACGGTAAATTTACTCGATGGCCATTTTAAATCTTAAGTACACCCCCCCCCCTTATCTTACCCCCCCCCCCTTATCGTTTCAAAATACGTAGGAATACGAAAGAATTTCTTCTTTTTTACGGAGAACAACACGTGTCCAATTACTTTTAAAATTTCTGTATCAGGAAATTGCCCCAGGTGCTTCAATATCGTAATGGGTTATTAATCCCTCGCGGACGGCTGTCAGGATAAACCAGACAATGTACCTTTAGACGCGCGTCAGAAAATCCTCGAACAATCCGTTTCTACAAACGAACAAAAATATATTATCTTGATATAAATGGAATAATTACTTAAATCTAAACAAAATGGATTCGAGGTTTGTTGTTACAAGAATTATTTTCGAAGAGCACCATCGATCTCGCGTGAAATTGAAAATCAATTACTTTGAAATTTCTTTTTTTTTTTTTTTCTGACTATAATTAAAGTACTACTGAGGATCCCTGTATCATGATTCCTAAACGAAGAATCCAAGACGATCGTGGACTGTGAATCGATAGATTCGGTGTCTAAAAAATCCAGAGCTGGGGGAAAAAGAAGCAAAATCATATATACTTCTTTCATTAAGCCAAGTTTAGCGAGTGATTCGAACGGAGAAGAAACGTTTGAAATAATCATGAAACCGCTCCTTTGGCAGCGCAGGGATGATAATGAAAGGGGATTCTTGTTAACTCTCGCTTGAGTTATTCAAAGCTTCGCGTGCCTATGGTTAACTTTATCGTTGTATCGTGCGAGGTACACCGAGGCACATCGTACGTATTTTTTCTTAGGATCGTTTCCCTTCAAGCGGGAGATTCCATTCTCTCTGGATCACGTGCTAAACGACCCTGTGCTCGAGGATTGGTGCAAGCCGAAACCACTGTGCTCGGAAACGATCCTCTTTAAACAGGTGTTCGTGTATTTAAATTGCAGGGTAATTATTACGCGCGCACTTTCATTTTTATTATCAGCTTTCGAGCATCTCTTCCAAACCAAAAATCAACTTGCTCCGTGATGCTCTGAACTTTTTCGTAAGCTTCCAAGTATAAAAAAATGAAGATCGAAACTTTTCAGTCTCGAAAATAGGCTTTACTTTGGACGGATCGATTCCTAGGTTTGGGATACTTTAGCATACAGTTTTCCAAAAAGTGATATTTATAATAGTCGTTGAGTTTGAAATCTTTTTTACCAAGTACTAGACTCGTCGCTTAGAATCGTGGTCTTGGTGGTTAGAACGGAGGTAGTGAATTCTTAATAATAGACTCGTCAATCGTTTATAACGACCAACATCTGCAGTCCGATCTCTCGTGCCGCGCTGTCCGATAAGGAAATGTAAGAAATCACGCTCTGGCTTTAACGCGTTAAGAAATCTCACCTTTACACAAGCCACTTGGTAATTCTCTCGTTTGTTCTCGCCTCGAATGCGCAAGTGTGATTCGGTCACCTAGCCGATCGAACTATTTCACTGTTATTCAACTATTTAACTTCGTACAGAATAGAGGAAGCCAAGATTTCTTCCATGGCGGTAGGCTAACTATGGGAATTGAAAGTACAGCATTTCGTATCTCTGCAGGTAGTTAGCACGCGATTTTCTTCTTAAATTGCTGAGAAATTTCCTACAAATTACACCCAAGAGAAAAATGGAGGAAATATCTTGCGCGCGAGCTCTGTTAACTGCTGTTCGCTCTGTCGTCTGCCGTTTGTAAGCGGGGGTGCGATCGTTAACATTTTTCGGCCTGTTATTTTTCACCTTGCGAAAGAGAATGAACTCTCTATCTACCGAGGACCCAATTAAAACGATTCCTGAAAATTTCCTTGCAAGGCGAAAGGATATACGGTTGCTCCGCTTTAAATCTGATTATTTTAGAATCCGTAGACCCGCAGTTTCTTGTCTCGATGTTGTACGTTCTCGCGGAAGCAGGCCAGTCGAGTGGTGGCGCCACACTGACGTTTCAAGTATTCGTGTAGCGGAAGCGTAACGACGAAAAACATAGCCGTATCGAAAGGGTTGAATATTTCCCAGCGTGACTGAAAAAGACACGGGTGGATGCTGATAGCGAAAAATGATTGCTGGGTTACCGCGCCCAGGGGTGGAAAAAAGCCAGCGTGTTAAAGCGAATTCGTGTCCCTTTGTGTTTCGCGCTATCGTACTTTTCGCTGCTGTCACTCAAGTGTAATGGCATTGGGCAGAGTACGACGAGGTCTTCGTTACGTTAATGTTTTAACCAAATGCAGCACGGTTTAATCTTCCTGTTCAGCTCGGATCTATTATGAACCCATGGGCCATGACGAAACGCGGGAACATTTTCGTCCAGGCTTCGAAATATTTCACGAAATATTTCCGCGGTGACGCTGTCTTCGTCCGTCTCTGTGCGCAAGTTGCAGCAACCATTTTACAACTTACAGAAACGTATAATATTTCACACTTACAAGCGTTTTTTTTTTTAAATAGAAACAAAATCCATTCGAAATACGTGTAAGGCGCTGCGGCATAACCCAACATCGACGAAAACCAGCTTCATATCCTACCGCAATTTCCACTTAATGAATATTTCATTATTTGAAAGCCACGGATACCGTAAGAGTGCCTTTTTCATCAGGG